GTTAGTACTTTATTTAAATTTCAAGTGGCAAACGCATGGACTATGCAGAAATTGCAAAATCAACTCTTACGATTTCGATATAATCATTAATATGAAAATGGAACAAATATGTTTATCATATTTTCTATTATTGTTTATATTTACTATATTGACAAAAGTTGTTTTAACAAAGCATTATGTTTCTTTCTGTGAGGACGGAGAGATTATGAACTCGGACAACATAAAGTCAAAAATTGAGAAATAATCTTAAAAACGATTTTAAACCTTCGAGAATTCCTTATTTGTATAATTTAGTATTGTAAGTAGAGATGCTTAAACTGTGTAAACATCGTATATGGATCATACAGTTAACAGAGGTGTGTGAAGAACATTGATTTTCTACGAGGTTAAGGACACGATAAATTGCAGACATCTACTATAGCCACGTGACTTTTACTCCTTTGATACAAATTTGTATCTGCCTACGATGGTTTTTCTTTATTGAAATTCTTTACCTCTTTATGATTCATTTCACATAATCAATAATCGAATTATACGTTAAAAAAACAAATGAATGTTTTATCGAAGAAAATAGATATTTAAAACAAAATATAACTATCAATCATGTCAATTAAAATTAATTATAGTGTATTTCCTTCGGCCAATAAATTTTTTCGAAGGACTTTTCTAAAAAATGAACTTGGTGCGTTTAAACTGAAATAATAATTTCGTCGAATTCTAACAAACTAATGTAATTATTCTACATAATATATATAATATTTTATAGTTTTTCATTAGATTAACTTTAAAATTATATACCAGAAAATTGATCAGCTTTGTTTTATATTAACAGGACGAATTAATTTGCTGATGAATTTCCTTCTTATACACTAATTTAACTCCAATTTGCTCTTCAAATCGCTTTTGCATCAGCGATAACTCTTTTCATCAGCAACGCCAGTTAACAGGCTTACCTCTTAGCTCGGTGAATCTTTTTTATCTCATTAGTTGGAACGAATGCAACTCGTGACCCACATGCAATCGGCGATTTAAAAACCACCAGCACAGTGCACTATATAAAGACCAACGTACTGTCTCTTTTTTCTCATCAAACATGCATGTATCGTAATCTTTCTCGGCGCCACATCCAGCTGCACCGGAAATAACACGACACACGCAAGACGCACATAGACGTAAATGGACGGAAATATCGAGGACAGTTACAAGAAATTAAAGGGACACAGAACAACAGTTCTTTTTGCGACTTCTATCACGGTGCAATAATAATATAACGCTTATATGAAGAATCGGCACTGATTCGATACATGGAATATGGAATTCGCGCGTAATTAGTCGACGCGCATCATCACCCTCCGCAGCGGCGCGGCGGCTGTGGATCCAACACGCTCTCAAGTATACTCGAGTCGCATCAACCGCAACACCTACAGATCCACGAAAGCGAGTTCAACGAACTTAACGCGCGCTATATTATCGAACGTCAGTTTTTTTTTTTTTTTTTTTTTTACGCTATTATATCCGCTACGCCCGAGCCTCGCGTCACCATCAAGTCTCACCTCAAGCGATCACCGCACCTTCACCTTCGCACCATAACCACCGAGAACCACGCTACAATCTCGGCTTGTTAGCCTCTCGTTCGCGCCGCGCGATCTCTCTCACTCGTCGAAACTCGACGAGAAAAAGCACACGTTACGCGAGAGCGGCGGCAGCCTACCGCTTGTTTTCTCCCAACTGCGTCCGGGTCGAGCACCTACCTAGCCGAGTCGTCATTGGGGACTCGACGCAGGCGCGCCGCAACGAGCAGCCCTCTTGCCCTTCGTCGCAGCGACTCCACGTACCGTCGAAAGGGTGGCCAAGCCGGAACGGAGAGAGAGGGAGGTTGGTTGAACGTACATCCGTCGGATGGACGCTACGGCTGAACCCCCGAACGACGGTGATAGAGGGACCAGGATGACCGTCGTCGGGGGAATAATCCCGCACGGTTTCGTTGATCGTGCTTTAGACTCCGGAGACGCCGATCGTGCCCGAAGTAGCTATAGCTACATCACGGCTTCACAGCGGTTGAACGGGTGAATACCTGCTCTTTCTAGACTATGCTTTTATATCCATGTTTATCGGAAGAGTCCATCAATCTATTCGTGGAGGAAATAGAAAAAAATTGCATTCTGTTTCTCTTTAACATTTTATTGTTATATAATAATAGTTATTGTAATTATTAACGTATCATACATGTACCGCTCTATACAGAGCACATTTATTCTACTTCTTCAGCACATATATTTGGTCAGCGAAATGCTTTATTTTATTGTATAATAAAATCAAGAGAATATTGAAATCAATTTAGGAGCAGGACTACGATGTATCTTGAGAGCTGGTACCATCGTATCATCTTGGAGATATGATAATTTGTTTCATGATTTTTTGCCAATTGCCGTTACCGATCGGCAACAGTGCCGATCTCTCGTGCACGGAATGGTTGGCGCGAGACTGATTCGGACCTCCAGACGATCTCGTTGATACAGCGGCATTGCTAGACCGACGCATGCGTGGGCGTCAGTTCCCATGGAAACCGGGGAACACGAGACACCGCGTGTGAATGCGTATTGATTACTCTGCTCTCGCTCCGTTCCGCGATCTCCCGTATCTTCTCCAGGCCACCCCGGCCCCGTTCTTCTCTCTCTCTTTCTGTGCTCCATCCTGTTCCCACTCGAGAGAGTACCTACCCCCGTCCCGACGAGTGGCGGCCACCCCCTCTTTTCTTTAAATTAGGCCCCTAATGTCACGTCCCCAGCACCCACGGAATAGAATCGAATTCTCTCTTTCATCGTAACTTGCCGGCCCTCGCGAGGGTCGTCGGTTTCGCTTAAATTAATGCCTGCGTCTCGTTCCGCTTTCTGCGGTTGATCGAATACGTACTGGACACAATTGTCGATGTACACGCGCTTTTCCGTCATGCTCGAACGCTCGCGTATAGAGGTTTGAGAAAACGCCCCTCTTTCTGTTTCAAATTTAAAATGTTTCTCGGAGTTAAAATTCAGAAGTTTTCAGAATTACAATGAGACAACCAACCAAAAAATATAATAGATTAGCGTTGACAATTTGACTACTATCTACCTAGACGACTATTGTTATAGTGATAATTGCAAATGTTGAAAAGGTGACACAAGTGTATTGTAATAATCTGGATTATTATCGTCGCGTCGTTTCACAAGGACATCTACATTTTGACTCGAGGATTTTTTCACTATTGCAAATTCCGTAGTACAAACGATATAACGAGAACCAAACAACGTTGGTACGGTGTATTCACATAATTTCAGTCACACTAGCGACTTCCACGGCGGAACAGATTGTCCCATTCACATTTCGCAATGGCGAAATTCGTTAAAGGAGGAATAAGACAGAGGGGCATTAAAAATCGTCAATCCGGCGAATTATTTCGGATCTAGCTGTTTTTTATTTACTTGTTCTTGTTTCACGTAGACCAGATGTCTCGTCGTACAGTTCGTCTCAGTTCTCATTCTCTCACGAAGTATATATTTTAGAGATTCAAAGAAATTGAAATTATATATTAAATCTTCACCGACCGAAAGAGAAATAGACTTTCATGATGCGGAAAGGGCAAGGACCGTAGCGAACATAAGGGGAAAGTGAAAAAAAAAACGGAAGAAGAATTATTCGAGTTTTATGACATATTTCCGCGAAAATAGAATTAATTGAGTATTAATTATAAGAGAGAAAGTTGACTGGATTGAATGAGTTTCTTAAAGGGTCAGAACTAAGCGTAATGCCCGTGTCACACTAGGCATTGGAAGCTGAGGATTGCGAATTGAGGATTAGAATTCAGTCAATTAAGACAAAACGGATTAAAATTAAGATCACTAGTCAAATTCGATTGGTCCAATTCTAATCTTTATTTGCAATCCTCAATCTCCAATGTAATCGTGTGATACGAACGTAAGATGTTAACTTGTAGTGTCTCTCAGTTTTTGAACATGGCCGGAGACACTACCGCGCGCGTCTCCTGATAATTCGAGGCGCGAGGTCGATAGGAGGTAGTGATGTAATTCCGCCTCACGAATCTGTCAAATTTCGTAAGCAAATGACGAAAACAATAACGATAGGAAATCTTAATTAATGTGTTGGCGTGACGATTGTTGACTCATTCGCGACACTTTTATTTTCGCTAGCCTCCTCTATTCCTTGACGTCTGGTCACACTTTGTGACTTTTTTCAGGGACGCAGCTAGTATGGTATTATTTTATGTAAAAATTACATGTTCTGCAATCGCATATGTCCGTTATGCAGCGAGAATAAAAGTAGAAATTATCAAATCGTTAGTCAGAATAAATACCTCATATTATTTCGTTTTACGTTTCTAATTGCTGTAATAAATATCTATAATTATTTTAATCTATTCGTGATCGCAAACACTTTTATATTATTACCTACTTTTATACAGTTCGCATTAAAGTTCATTAAATATAAACTTTAATGACCGCTTTACTATTATTACTATCATTTATTGTTCAATAACTGTTCAATGCGAGAAACTGCAGTTATCTATAAAATTTACGTTGTTTCTCTCAACTTAAATATGAAATAAATAAATAAAATAGTGTATAATACATATGTGTATAAAAATATAAATAGAACCTGCCAAAGTATTAAGATGTCTGTAAAGTTCTCGAGTAAAATTTCCTATTACTTAAAAAAGATATAAAAAACGTAGAGAGAGGAGAACTTTTGGTTTGCTATATTTTATAGATTTTACCGTAGGAAAGTTTCGAATTCGTCCCTGAGGGGTGAATACGCGACAGTATCCCATGCATGACCGCTATATAAATAGGTGAAACTTGAGAAAATAGAGAGCCACTTTTGTGTCATCTCTACGTTAGAACGAATGTTCGTCGGACTTCTTGCAACATCGGAACTACTTGCGTATAGTACTCGATATCCGGAACGTTCTAAACTCGGGCAGCAAGTGAGAAATGTTCGCGACAATGACGCACGTTCTACTTCTCTCTGTCATCTTCGGTGTTTGTTGTACGTTAGCGGAGAAAAGTGAATACACGACGACGACGACCGAAAATTCGGAAAAACTTTCCAATTCGAAAGACCAATTCCTGGCAAGTGCCATTCGCGGTAAAAACTCGTCGGAGCTTGCTCTGGATAACATCGACGAGGAAGAAATAAAAAAAACAGATAAGAAACCGAGAACCGTCTTACATCGCGACTCGAGTCTTGAAAGAGATAAGTTAATATTTTCGATTTGATATCGTTTCGAATTTTTCCTTAAAGTTAAATCTTAAAACGTGACAATAAAGAAATTTAATGACAGCTCAGGTTATTTGGAACATTTTTACTTGCAAGTTCCAGTTGCTGCAGTTCTAAGTACAGTCCTAGCGGATTCGCACGACCGGATTATAATTACAACAGGATTCCTTTAGAGACCGGACGATATTCTTCTCAATATAGCGAGCGTCCCATTGATAGGTAGTGATAAAAATTATCTTTCACGTACGAAAAAGTTTTAGGAAACGCAAAGTTTCCTTTCAGATACGGATGGCAAACGCAAGTTCGGCCCCCAGGTTCCATCGGAAACGGTGACAGGCCTGGTGCAGGAAGCGGAAGCGCAGTCTACGCAGGAAGTCAGTCGGGAGACAGGTAAATTTACCCAACTTCCGGCAAATCATAAATTTTCCGCTAATCTTTGTCACCTTCTGTATTAACTCGAAGAAGACTTAAAAGAACAAGAAAAAAAACACACAGGGACAAAAAGGTTCCCTTTACTGAATTAAAAAATCGTACAAGTTTAAAAAAATTTTTTAATTCGTGAAAAAAGGAAGAATTCTGATGTTATCATTACATTATAATTGTATTTTATGCATCAATTTTTATGAATTAAAACAAAAGGTATGGACCGCGTCCAGCAAGCGATTCTAATAGACCTATCACTTTGGGATACGGTTCGGGAAACGGTGGAGGATACGGTTACGTCGTTAGCGGTTATGGAGGCTATGGTAGACCAACTGGACATGGAGGTTCGATCAGCGGCTATGGGATTTCGGGAACATTGGCGGATGGTGACGAATTCGGCCCAAACGATGCGGCTTATCCGGATGTAAGCACGCCACAAGGAAATATTCAAGCACAAAAGGTGTATATTAGAAGAGGGTGGACATTTTTCACTTAAAAATGGAAACGATCGAATAAATGAACAATGAATTATATTTATTCATTAAGGCAATAGCGTTAAAGGCCCTAGCTGGCGTTGCATTGATCGGGGCAGCAGCGGCGTTAGCTTCAAACCCAGTTTTTCTGCCAATCGGGATTGTGTCTGGTAGGAGAAAAAGATCGGAGACTTTCTCGGAGAAAGAACAAACCGATTACCAAATGGATTACATTTTGTACATGTTGAAAGAAAATTTAGCTAAGGTACGTAAGGTAGCAATTTCTTTCTCTTCGCGCAAAAACCTTAGAAGTCTTAATATGAAAAAGATTTTCATAATGTTAAAAAATTTTTATATGTATTTTAAATCTGTATGAACATTTTTGAAGACCATAAATTTATTCAGATTTTATAATTATTTTAAAATTATAGGATAAAAAGTCTTAGAAAAGATATGCGAGTGTTTCTTAAATAATGTTTACTAATTATATAGTTCATATATACTAATTATATGTTCATTAAGTAAAAATTTACAGTTTCTAGATTAATTGCGTTTCAAGACCGAAAATCCATCGGCGCGTAAATATTTAGGAGGGGGGATATTTCAGATTATTAGAGTTGCGTTGTAAGACCGAAAAATCTTTCGGCGCGCAACAATTAAGAAGAGGGGACATTTAAAATCAGATTATTTGGGGGGACTATATATAATTAGAACGTTATTTCTCACTTTGGATAAATATTGCGAAGAATATTACTACGTCGACCCGCCATCAGAGGTCTATCGATATTCGCAAATTCTCGCAAGTGCTGAGACACGCGTATATCTCTTTATATTAATTATATAGTACTATTCTTGATAAAAAATTAAATCGAAAAGTCCTCTGCCCTTTTGCAATTTTCGTAATATTTTTTTTAGTTACCCAATGAATAAAATGTCTAAAATCGATGCATACAACTTTAAGATATCTTTAAGAAATATCCAAATATTTCACAAAAAATACTGAAAAAAATCTTGAAATTGCCTTATGCATTTTATCGGTTTATTCGGCAATCTTTAGAAATTAAATATCTCATTAATTATTGCGAAAATTTCGAAATGGTAAAGGACTTTTTAACTCAATTTTTTATTAGGAATAACATTATATGATTAATAGACGTTATTTAAGAAACATCCTATAGAATTTCTAAAGTGTTCCTATCCACAAAAAATATAAGAAATTTTTTAATTTATATAAAAATTCTGAAAAATTATAATTATAATTCTAAGAAAAATTTTATCAAGAAACTGCTGTTCTTTTTATGGACAGATACGAAAAGATAGTTCGAGCGGCAGACTTGTGATCTCTCCAAGATGCGTCGCCAGGTTAACTTGTGAAATTCAAAAGGATTACTTGTCTGATGTTGGAAAAGACGTCGAGATCTTGAGTACAAATCGGAAATATCATCTTACCGATCTGTATGTAAATTTTTACAATATCTAAGTATTTCACGATATAAAATGGATCGATTAACTTAAATTCTTGCAGAATACGAAATAATGTACTCAATACCAATACGGTGAGCGTAGCCGTAAAGGATTTGATCGAGCTGGCTGTTGGCGTAGCGGCGAAAAACGAAAGTTGTGACACGTTTACTTGTAATTACATAAGAAAAGCTTATAAGTAAGATTGTTGTAATCACACAATTCTATTATTACTTATCCAACTATTTAATAAAGGAGGATGTATACACGCACGCAAAAAATAAAGCTTGTTTATATAATATCATATAGTACCGCAATTCAAGAATCCGACTTCGATTAAACTCCGATTAATTTAATTAGCATTCTTTTATTAATATTCGACTTAATGTAATTTAATTTTAATATTAGTTCAAATAACTCTTCAAAGAATTATAAAAATATAAAAAGTAAGTTGAATCAAGATTAAAATTAACTTATATTGATAGAATTAAACTTCAGACAGTGTATACAATATTTTTATGGTCTTAGATTGCACAGATCATAAACATTTATTACAAAATTATGAAATATTTATTGTATATTGAGAGCAACTGTACATCTTGTTACAAATTTTCCTTAGGGGGTAGGATACCCTGAGCGGCATTCGTTATGTACTTTTCTGGTAAAAATTTTCTCGCGCCGTCATAATCGATACCAAGAAGTCTCATTGCAAAAATTAATCTTCTGTTTATTTCATATGCTTGACCGATAATGGGACAAGAATTTATATATCGCGGTTCACATTTATTACACGTGACGACTAATCTAAATCCAAATCCGCGAATGCTCGATTCTATAAATGTTATAATATTTTCGTTGCACTCTTTATCATATCAGCGAAAATAATGTTAAAAAATTATAACACGATATCCATGACCTGCATTTATTGGCCCTTGCACTGAACTTGTTTTTAGTTTTTTTCGCGGAGGCACCTGGTACTTGCTATTTCACACTCGAACTCGTGACGATTCGGCGGCTTTGGTCTCTTTTTCGATCGACTTGGGCGTCCTGCCATTTCCCGCGAATCTTTTCTATCAAGTGATACACGCTTCATTGTTTTAATTTCAATTGAAATTGATTTTGAAAACTACGAAGCGTACTGTAGTACAAACATCAAAACTGACTGTGAAACGTTCTTTCAAACCAACAATAACAGTCCCTATTGAAAACAGAGAGAAACCTGAAAGTGGACATCCTGGGATGCGTTCAGAATCGTTGTTTGGATGCACCCCAGATGTTGTTTTATTCTTGTTGTTCACGAATGATAAACAAGGATAACACGACACTTAGGTGCACTCGAATGATTCTGAAGGCAGCCCTGGCCTTTTTCGTGTACTAAATTTCATAGGATAATGTCCAACGTTTTTGTGGTTCTCTTCCATACTAATAACTTTGATGGTTCGTCCTTGTCTAACCCACGTAATGGAGAAAAACCACAAAAACGTGGATATTACCCTATAAGATTTGGTACACGAAAAAGGCCAGGATGTCCACTGTCCACTCTCAGGTTTCTCTCTGCTGAAAATAATCGTATATACAGAGAGAGAGAAACTCGCTTATTACCTATTGTTTGAAAGAACAAGCCGTAACGCTCGGTCTTTCGATCTACCTATGCGTTAGATACGCGCGTTTACTTCAAGTGTATAATTAAAAAAATATTTCGAATATTTTGATTTGGAACCTTTTACATATTTCTAAAACTTTAAACTATATTTTAAAGCAAATTTAAAAAATTTCGATTTTTTTTAAGATCTTTGCCCACTGAAAACTACTTACAAGTCAAGGTGTAATGTCAACGTGACGTCAAATTGATCAGGAATATGATGTCAAAAAGAGTAATCAAAATCATGACAAAATGACAACTATAGGTGCGTTCCGTTTCGCACATGATGCGCATAATGCATCAATTGTCCTTGTTTAACATTTGGTGAGCAACACAGATAAACGATGCATTATGCGCATCGTGCGAGAAACGGAACGCACCTTATATGACTGTAAAACATTCCATACCATGACAGTGATCTTGGCTGTCATTTTGATATTTGTTTAATGTCATATTAACAATTATCCAACAAAAAATTAAACTGTTATTTATTATTATTATTATATATTGACGTTTTTATTATTGACATGAAAAACTTTAGTTGTATTATATTATATATAATACAACTAAAGTTTATTGATTATTGTGATTTACACTGGAAATTTTGTCATTTTTGCGAGCAACGGGTCATATAAGATAATACTTTAAGCAAATGAAATAAAAGTATATCTGTTATAAATAATATCCAATATATTTAGAAATATATTGAAATATGTAGAAATAATACCAACGCATGATACAATAATATATAATGTCAGACATTTTTTTGAAAAAATAATGTAATAGATAAAATCGTCTCATTATAATATGTTATCGTTTTGTCAATGTGACATTGATTGAATTTCTCGCATAATACTATAATTATTATCTATAAACAATGATTTTCACCTTCTTCTATAATATTTTCTTACCTAAGACATCATTTTACATGGTGTCAAGTCATATATATTGAACTATTTTTTTTGATACCATGACGATGAACGACAGTTTTGATGTTCATTTGACATCACTTTAACTGAGTTGTTTTCACTGGGCGAGTATCCTACCCCCTTCAGCGATTCTTGTTTATTTCAATGTAGATTAACTATATAATCTTGGTTTAATTTATTTTTTATTCTTCTTTAATTCTTAATATCTTAAGATGATATTTATAGTCTATTCTTGTTTAAGATTATCTTAATAAATAATATGTCTTAAAATTAAGAGATATCTACTAAAATATAATTCTCTAATTATTGGTTCATAATATCATAGATATAAAATTCGACTAATGCCCATTTCCATCAATGCAGATTAACTTTAATCTCGGTTCAATTTGTTTTTCATCTTTTTTTAATTCTAAAAATTAGAGAAAGCTTAACAGTAAGTTAAACCGAGATTAAAGTTAATCTGCATTGATGGAAACAGGCATAATTGTAAGTATAAGTCTTGACTTTATGTTTGTTTCTAGCAATACAGATTGACTTTTATCTTTGTTACCTAGGTTTTATTTTTTTTCTACTTCTAAAATTTAATAAAATCTAATAATAAAGAGTAAATTAAACCGAGATTAAAGGAAATTTATATTGGTAGAAATATACATTAGAACTAGGAAAAGGTAGAAGGTAAGTTAAACCAAGATTAGAGTTAATCTAGATTAGTAGAAATAGGCATTTATTGGTCAAATTAACCGTTGATTAAGTTAATCAGGAGCTTGGTCGAAGTCACCTCTAAAGCTTTATTTAACCTTCCCTCCAAACAACACCGTCTCACGCGAGGTGGCGCTACAGTACTTCGTCTGCCGTTGGCAGACACGTGACGTTGCACAGAAAAAACAAAGTTTATAACTGACGTGTCCTAATAAGAGGCAACGTGGCAACGCGACAGTGTTCGCTGTGTTTGGAGTTCTTGTTGTTCTCACTTTGCTTCTTGTATATTTTTGCCGTCGCAATGTCGATATAAACAGAAAAGTGAAAGACTGAATTTCACATTACCAACTGTCACTTTGGCATTTTATTTCTTTTTTAATCGTAACCGCGTACGGTGGCAAAAGGTTATGTATCCGCGATGATCGCGTCGTCAGCAACGACTCGACGTCGACCAGCGTGAGTGTTACTCGCTCGTTCACCGTCGTTTCTCCGAGAATTTGATCGTCGTCGATGCGACCCCACGTCGCGCGCATCCATTCGTCCACGATATGCGGTGACAAGCGGAGATTCTAACCTAATCGGTGATAACCTTGAAAATCACTCAGCGGTGCGTGAACGTGGCACGAGCGTGAATATTCGTTGCTGACTCACTCGTATGGATGTTAATATGAGGAGGAAACTCGACAAGGAGGATCGATCTGCAGAGGATGGCGTCGTCGACTCGAGCAGCAGCCAGGAGCCGTCTGATCTGCGGGGAGACGAGAAGAATATTGCGATTTTGTTCTTTTTATACCTGCTTCAGGGTATTCCATTGGGATTATGCGGCTCGATCCCTATGCTGTTGCAGAATAGAGGAGTTTCCTATCGCCAACAGGTATGTGAAAGCTTTCTTCCACAATTGTCCTAATTGTAAAAAGAAAACAATATGTGAATGTGCTTTTCAGCAAAAGATATAGTATAATACAGTGAATCATTATATCCTTGTAGTTCATCAATGTTAAACAAAAATGAAATGATTACACTGTAATATCTTTTGTTAGAAAGCACTGTGAGTGACATTAACCCTAGTTATAAATATTATAATAAATTTTTTTTTGTAATCTTGATACATATATACATTCGGGTCCTTAAGACCTCAACCATATTTGTTATTGTAATTTCCATAAAAATTGATACATATCAATTTTTTTTTAATCGATAGAGAATTGATTAAGGAACGAGTCTATAATGTATAGTATATTGATTTAGAAAATTGCACTGGAGTTTTTGGGGTTCCAGTGTATATAGCTAGGCTTAAGATATAGATAATAATTTCTTCAGTATTTGTGTATATATAAAATTCTTTACCAATCGTGTCATCGGTAAAGAATTATATCAATTATATATATATGTAAAGCGTTCCCAGGATGGCATTTACAGTATATTAGTAGCATCTTAAAACAGTCTTGAAATAAGAACTAACTATGAATACTGACTTATGATTGATTGTAACATCTTAAGATTATATTTAAAACATCCTTAAATATAAGAATTATCTATGAATACTAACCTGTGATTGTGTGTGCGCTTTACTTACAATATAGCTCTTTAATTGATGACATCTTAAGTCTGTGCTTAAGACAATCTTAAATATAAATATCAACTATGAATCCTGGTTATAATTAATTCTTATATTTGAGACTGTTAAGTACAATCTTAAAATAAGAACAAACTGTTTATACCGTCTTTAAAATGATATTAAAGATTGGACTCTCTGAATACTGTGGAACCTATTTGATAAAATAAGATAGATATATATATATATATATACTTTGTAAATTACAATATATTTAAAAGTTATAAATTGATTTAATAATAGTAAAAAAAATTTACATGGAAAGTAATATATCTTTTACATGTTTCTTTGTTGACACAGGCAGAATTTAGTTTTGTACAATGGCCATTTTCGTTGAAGCTCTTTTGGGCCCCCATAGTAGACTCCATTTTTTCCCAGAAGTTTGGAAGGAGAAAAACTTGGTTGATTCCCACTCAGTATTTAATGGGTTTATTCATGCTTCTTTTGTCCAATTATGTGAACCATTGGTTGGGAAAGGAACATGAGAAGCCTAATATTGAAATGTTGACTGCATTATTTTTCTCCTTAAACGTACTTGCTGCAACTCAGGATATTGTAGTAGATGGATGGGCACTTACAATGCTTAAAAGGTACTTTTGTGAAACATCTAAATCTTGTGTACATGCATCAGCAATATTTCCAAGCTTGAAGCCTGTTTAATTTTCATTTATTCCTCAAGGTGCAACGTTGGCTATGCATCTACCTGCAACAGTGTCGGCCAAACAGCGGGCTACTTTATTGGCTATGTTTTATTTATTTCGCTGGAGTCCGCTGAATTTTGCAACAGTTACTTGAGGTCGACCCCTTCTGATAAAGGCATACTAACTCTACCCGGTAAGAAAAGCCTAACAATTGAAAAGATTAATGTTCACATATATTAAATATATATTTGGATTGTATAACGAGGGTATTTTATTTTTAGGATTTTTATATTTCTGGGGCTGGACATTTATCATTACAACAACGTTTATTGCGTTATTCAAACACGAAGATAAAGGCAGAGTTTCAAAAGGCGTAGACTTAAACATGGATATTAAGCATGCATACAAGCTGCTATGGGACATAGTTAAATTACCAGCCATAAAGACCACGATTATATTTCTCTTGACTGCAAAGGTTGAATATTAATTAATTTACAATCATAATTTTGTAGCATAAGTAACATAAATTTCGTTGTGTTTACTTGATTGTTTTATTTTGCAGATCGGATTTTCAGCATGCGATGCTGTAACTAGTTTAAAGCTTATAGAAGCCGGTTTTCCGAGAGAGAAATTTGCTTTTATGGCCGTGCCTATGATACCATTGCAAATAATTTTACCACTAATAATCTCGAAATATACTGCTGGACCCAGACCTATGGATGTTTACATGAAAGCTATGCCTTATAGGTAATTAATATATAATTTATGTATGACAATAAATCATAAAGATTTTAATTGGATGACAGTTATAAATTTATGTGATACAGGTTGGCATTTGGCTTAATAGCGGCATGTTTGGTGTGGGTTACACCATTCATTGTAATCAATGGATATGTTCCAGTTTATTATTTTGTAGTATTGATAGGCTTATACTTCATACACCAGGTAAATATTATACAGAATATGAATTTCTTTAATCGTTGTTTAACTTGGACTTACTGATTGTATAATGCTTTTTATTATATTTTAGATTTCTGCAAGTAGTATGTTTGTGGCATCGATGGCTTTTTTTGCAAAAGTCAGCGATCCGGCAGTTGGCGGAACATACATGACATTACTGAATACTTTGTGCAATCTTGGTGGAAATTGGCCTGCCACGGCTGCGCTTTGGTTTGTCGATCCCTTAACATTTAGACAATGCAATACTGATTATGCAAATGACTGTAGCACGATTACGGAGAGAGAGGTAAGTTGCGACTATCTTTTTTAAAATTCTATTATATATAATATAAAGCATTAACATAATTATTTATTATATTTTCAGCTCTGTGCAAATACCAACAATGGTGTTTGTGTTATGCAACTCGATGGTTACTACATAGAAAGCATTCTTTGCTTAATAATAGGTTTCTCTTGGCTTAGATGGGGTCGTAGAAAAATTAATATATTACAAGCAAAACCGATGTCAGCGTGGAAAATTGTACTTACCCGTAACAACAGGTAACATATCAGCACAATGTTATAAATTCGTTAACATTGGTACCTGTAAAATTATTAGAAAATTATCTTCATCGCGTTGCATATACGGTGTATCCACTGTAGTTCCTCTAGATCAGATCGAATTATTAGGGTAATTTATTGTAATTTACCCGTAACAATTAACCATTACTATTTATGCTATCAAAAATGTCCACATTGAGATGTGTTAAAAGGAATTAATAATTTTGTGATTATTGCACTACAAATTAAGGTAAAGCTTAATCTAATTTATTTAAAACGATCATGTGTGTTGATTCACGGATTTCCATAGGAACTATATGGACACACTATATATTTATCCATATATGGGACATGTGCATACATCGTTTCCTATACGTTTACCAAGTGTTCCAGTTTAGAAAATATGCGTGAGGTGAATCGATAACGATCCATTCGCCTTAGAAGGCAATATCTATTATAATTATATATATATATATACACACACATATATATATACATATATATAGTGCAGGCCCCACTAAGAGGAAACGTAACATAATATCATAATATAATGTCAAGTAAACAACATTCCGTGCATAATTGAAAAGATCTCTAATAGTGTCATTCTTATTTCATTTGTGTGTGATTCGAGTTATGATCGAGATATGATTTAGTGATATTTAAAATATATATACAGAATATATAATATATATATTTAACATTAGTAAAATGTTATTTATTATATATAAGGAAATATGTATTGTATAACATACGTTTTTCCATATATATGCATATATATTTGTCATATATGCATATTTATTTATCAACGAATAAAATATTTTCCGAATGCGACGTATCACAACAGAAGCGGAATATATTTTTTTTATGAGACGTTATTATATGTATTATTTAGATAAAATTTGTATGCGCGCATAAACTCACAATTTGTTATCTCTCTGCGAACAGCGTATTTTATTTCAAATAATAATACTTTGCACGGAATACTTACAGATATTTCATAGAAGTTTTGTAAAACAGAAGACATGTGCGACGCATGTTCGCAGTTTATTGTAAATATATCTAAAAGTATTTTATGCATAAAGAACGCATGACGAAATACATAAACGCAGGATGTTAATAAAAATTTTCATATAAAAAGTTGGAGCTGATGTGTATATGTTTTATTTCAACTTTTTTGTACTTTCCTGACGGCAATATAGAGAAATAAACACAGTCACAGCCATGAAGACGAAATATCAGGTATGAATATGAGTAATCAGATATAGTCACTTCAAATATATATATGGATAGACGTTACTCGTGTGGATATTATAACAGTTAATGTGTTGCATGAGAACAATATTGTACATAACGACACAATTACGAGTATATTACATTTTGTATTAGTTTTGAGAAATTCAAGCGTGCGTGTGCGTGTGCGTGTGTGTGTTTTCGGTTTATACACAATTATTTTATCTATCTACATGCAAGATTTTGTATCAAGTTTCAGTAATTGAAGAAAGATACGAAGAATTACGCTAAGAAATATTTTTGTAAATAAAAATTGGACTTTTAATAATTTGTTTGTTAATGTTCCAGTTCGAGATCACTTTATACATGAATTCGCATTATAATTGCAATAATTGTCAATTGCAAAATATATCACTCATTTGCTGCCACGACACAACTAGCAAAATAGTTTTTCAGAAAGTTTGAATGTTTTGAATCATTAAAATTTTGTAATATTAATTTTGAAATGTTTATTTTCCCTTTGTGTGTGTTTTCCTTTTTCTTTTTTGCAAATAATTTAAAAATTAGAATTTTTAAGCTATGTCATTGTGATAAATGAGCAATATTTCGGTCTATGTTGCTTTGAAGACTTACACTGCTAATCTATATTTATCATTTATTTTTACATCAAAAAATATAAACAATTCTTATAATAATAAATTCAACTGGAAACTAAACTATACATTGTTTAAGCATGCCCGTTGTTATAGCACCTTAACAATATTTATCATTAACACATCGATATTACGTATATTATTACATGGATTTTTTCCATGTAACACCATGCGATTATACTCGTCATGTACAACACATATGTACATAATGCACACAAATTGTAGATTGATAAAATTAATAAATAATTATAGATTAATAAATAATAATACATCACTCAAATAGTATTGATTACAGACATAATGTTCTTGGTATCAGTAGAAATCTTTCATGAAGCACGTGTTGCGTCCTAATTATCTCTTTGAACTTTACATTATAAATTGAGTGATAAATTAAAAGAGTAACACATATTTTTAACATATAAATTATTTTAATCTAAACAATTGTTCTAAAAATGAATCTATTATGAGATTCATAAATTCTTTATTATCTATCCGTTTCGCGAAGTCACAATTCTAGATTCAATTGTGCGAACGTGAGTTTATGTCAAATGAGAATATATTTATTGAAGTTATTTATTAAATTTTAATACAATTAATAACAAAATAGCTTTTGGTCATTTTTGTCATGATGAAACAAATATTTTTTTATCGCGGTATTCTTAATCGATACTTATATTAAATAAAGCTATACGCGAAATGGAAGTTCAATGACTTCTCGTTGATGTTTGAATTTGTGCGTAGTAAAACATAAAATAAATGAACTAAGACTCTCCAAGTTCATACTAGCAACATAATTGTCGCGTTCAGCAGATTCAACTGTTACGGAACGAATCCGTGAGCGCTCATTGCTATTGGTGTATTCTTTTAGAATTTTAGATCATCCAATAGTAGCAATTGCTCACGGATCCGTTCCGCAACAGTTGAGTCTGCTGAACGAGACCAAGGTTTCACAAATCATATTATTTAATCCTGCGATAATAATAATAATAGTCATTTAAAAAGCGATAATATTCGCTGATCGAGTTAAAAAGTAAAAATACGAGCTTAAGAGATATAGGAATTGCTGTGATTAGTCAAACTAGATAAAGCTAAGTACCAAAAATAGATTTTTATACCAGATAAAACTTTCTCGAGCAAACTTCGAAATGTACGAGTTAAAAAATCCTCAAAGGTCGTATTTACAAAATATATTCCATAAACTTTGAATTTCAAGCAACATGTAAAGTGGAGCCGCTTAAGTAAGAAATGTGTGGCAAATAAACGAAAAATACAGAATAGATTTTATATATAAGATAGTATTATGGCATTTAAATAGGCGAATATATACATATACATCAATTATATGCATTAACTTATAAAAAAAATATTAAATATATTAAATGTGTTGTATTTTTATATATAATTTGCATTGCATACATATAATATATCGTTGTTGACAGCTTAAACATTATTTCAATTTTAAATTTTAATTAGCTACTTCCGCGGCTCCACTGGCGAACTAGAAAAGGAAAACAATTGATAAAAATGTATAACTTATTTCTAGTCAACACATTCCTTATCGTTCAAAACAGGTGTTTTATCATTCTTTGGACTAACTCGTAACGTAGATCCCCACTTTGTACCTTTTTCAGCTTCTGAGGTGGCCATTAGAACGGAATACGAGTTTGGAGTAGCGATGGCTTCTTTACTGTAGTAAAGGCCGTATAGACAGTAGATTGAAATTCCTAAAAAAAAGAACCAAAGAAATTAGACAAATTGGGATTTATTGAATTTAAATTTATAGCATATTCGGTATTTTGTGTTTAAAATTTATATCTTATTTATACGACTAATGTCGTGTATCATAATCAACGTGCCGAGTATCATCCATATGAGAAATCGTAGCCACGTCAGTATCGATAGATGCACTATCAGACACATATTGAACAGAATGCTTAACGCAGGTAGCAAAGGTACCAACGGTACTTGAAATTCTCCAGTGGGTGGATTTTGCTTGTAGGCGTTAATTAGGAAAAGACCTATGAGCAAGCAACAAACGAATAAAATTGAATACAATATTCGTTCTTTCATGCTAAAAATCGAAAAAATTGAGATAAGCTTACTCCCGATTGGTAGTGGAAGATAGGATGCTGTAAAGAGATATTCGCCCATCGAGAGTTGGAATTTTGCTTCGAATGCTACCAATAATAGAACACCAAGATAGCCGCAGACTATTGTATAGATAGCCACACAAATGGTTATGACATGTCGAGTATCACAATCATCTAGCCATTCTTCCATCCAGACGTATTGCGGCTTAAATTTGCTGAATTGTTTGTACTGCACCTACTCGATACAAATAATGATTTATATTAATAATATTATCTAGAAAATCTAAGAATCACCTGGCGTAATATTTTATTATGGCGAAATTTATAGATACTTTGTCGAAATGTGCATTTTATAGAAACTAAATATTTTGAAATTATATCACACCGTAACTATGGCGTCATCATACATTTTAATAAAGCAATTTTATTAAAGCATTCGCGGCGCACTCACTTCGGATTTCATAGATGCCATGCTGCAGGAGTCTACTTCCTCCATAGATGACGAGGAGCAACCACTGCTTAACGTACCGACGCTAGATTCATCGGAGGATCGCTCGGGCACATACCTCAACAGAATAACGCTAATTGCCACAACAGTATACGCGAGCAGAGTCCCGATCGACATAAACTCCACTAGATATTTGAGATCAAATAGTAAAGCAATTAAGGCACTAAGCAGTCCACTTATGATCAAATTGTACACTGGCACTTGCGTGCGCTCGCTAATTCGACCGAGAAAGCCGAATAACAGACCATCCTTTGCCATGGAGTACATTGTTCTTGGAAGGGAGAACAGAGATCCAAAAAGAGTCGTCGTCATTCCGCAAAGGGCACCCACGCTGCACACAAAACAATTTTCAATTAGTGCATTTTAAGAATTAATTAAATCAGAAATTAAAGTAAAATTGCTCACCTTATTACATATTTAGCCCATGGAATTCCTCTGGATGAAAAAGCTTCCGGAAAAGCGGCGACAGAATTAATCTCCCAATATGGTACGACTAAAGTCAGAGCCCCGCTGACCAGCATGTATCCAACAGTTACTATCGCCATCGAGAGTATCGTCGCCAGCGGAATGCTTCGTCCTGGATTGCGAGCCTCCTCTCCGGAAGCCGCAATCGAATCGAAGCCGACGTAGGCATAGAAACACGTTGCTGCACCTGCATCAAGGATCTTAATATATATAATTCCTTTCATTCGGTAAATACCACATGTACAGAATAATATAAACCATTTTCCTTGTATTACGTAATGTATATGTTTATACAATGTGTGTAATTTCTATTAAGTTCGTAATTATCGGACAATTAAGTATTTAATAACTGGATAATTAAGTATTTAATAACAAAATCCACTTACCGTTTTGCATCGTGTTTGTTCGACCGATCTATTCTAATTAACTCACCTTTCATTACACCGCTGGCACCAAATGGGAAAAAACCACCGTTTTGGCTGCTCCAGTTCGTAAGGTCCGCGTAATAAATACTCAAAGCAATGACCAGTCCCATCACCGCAAGGTTGACGATGGTCAGTAACGAGTTCACCGTCGCTGAGGTCTTCACTCCGAACCCCAAAAGCATCGCGTAAGCCAAACATAATCCACTGGCCAGGAAATCCGGGACGATGCTCAACGGCTTTATCATGGTCCAGTCACCCGTCACTTCGCGAGTATAATTGCTAATCGCACCATCTAATAATGAATCCACATATCCACTCCAAGCCCTCGCCACAGACGCCGCGCCTAATTAGTACGATAAAAAATACTTTCATTAATTATCAATTTAATTTAATTTTTTCTCTTGTTACTAATTACGCCAATTTGATATTTTATCCTGAGATAAAGAGAATTCTCATATTTACAATTTACAAAAAAAGATGTACATTTTCTTAGTATTTCTGAAATGTTCCATTCGTATAGCTAAGAAACTTTTTAAAAAGTATATTATTAAATCATACAGAAATTGCGAAAGATTTCGAAATGTATATAGTATATAAAAATTTTGAAAAATTATATAAAAAATTCGAAGAAAAATAAAGTTTTTCAGAATTTTAGCTAATTCATATTTTCTTTTCTGTTAATCCTTCAGATTTTGTACGAGAAACAGGCTCGTACCGATCAAATGCTCCATGATGAGGGTCCATCCTATGAGAAAGGCCGAAAGTTCACCGACGGAGACGTAAGTATAGACGTACGCGCTACCCGCCTTCGGCACTCGAGCAGCCAATTCGGCGTAACAAAGCGCAGCCAAAATGGAAGCGAAGCCAGCCACAAGAAAGCTAATAACTACTCCGGGTCCAGCGGCGTCGTGCGCAACCGTTCCCGTCAGTACATAAATTCCGGCGCCGACCATATGACCCACACCTAAAAACAATGAAAATTATGCATATATGCATATATACAACTTAATAACAATTTGCTGAATATCGAATTTATCAAATTTGTTGCTCGGCAAATTACAACCAACATTTTGTTGAGGATATATATATATATAATACATATATATATGTATTATATATATATATATCCTCAACAAAATGTTGGTTGCAATTTACCGAGCAACAAATTTGATAAATTCGATATTCAGCAAATTGTTATTAAGTTGTGTGATTTAATTTTGGTCGATTAATTTTTGCCGTCAATTTGTTGTTAAATTATCAGCAAGCTTAATTTGCACAATTTTGATATCAATTTATTCTCGTGTATAGCAAATTGTTGCATATATATATCTATTTGCTACCAATTGTTGACATCATTAATATAATAAAATCTGCATAAAATTTTGGTGCCTTCAATAAAATTTGTTTTCTACAGATCTCATTGAGTATAAATACAGGACTGTGATTAATATTAACATTATTATAATAAATAAATTAAATTAATTATATTAATATTATTGTAATTAACATTATTAACTGTTAAAAGAATAAATTTCAATTCAAACGTAATTCTTCTATAAAGCAGCTTCATAATTATTTTTATTAATAGTTCGTATCATACCGTTGCCTAACGCGATATATCTCACTCAAGGCTATTATTCCGGACTATTACGCTTATCATTACCGCGATAATGCACGCGTATGTAATGGCAAACTACATATCGCTCGCATCATGTCACATATAAAGAATAACACAATAATAATAATAATATAAATATATTTACTATATATAAAAATAAATTGTATAAAAAGGTAAATAATAAAACTTAAAAGCAATTTGAATACAATGAAGTAAAGAGTACATTATCTGGAAGAATATTTTCTTTTATATATAATCCGTCACAAAGTCGGTTTGTTTAAGCTGTAATTATAAAAGTATATTCACCGAGCAACGTGATGTCGAAGGTGGAAAGACATCTCTTCATCGGGGTTTCGAGCAAATCGCCTTCCAGCTTTTTCCGGCGGCACATCTTATTGTACATGCCGGACATAACATGACTCAGGATCATCTTGCGAACCGACGGCATGATGACAGGTCCTGAAACAGATTCCAATTCCCGGCTTACCGGACCATATTCTGCTTAGTCGGAGAGGAAAAAAATTATTCAATTACGTTGTTTAAATAAAAAATGTTTTCGAATGTACTTTATTTGTCGAGAGAGTCTCGGATTGGATAAAACGTGCGCTGCGCGACAAATTTCCATTAAGTAAAAATAAAGTAAAATCGATAATTAAAACTCTGTATATGGTGTTTCAACACAATATGTCACGGCGGTGACAAGTAGCAACGGTGAACACGACGCATATACACGCACTTCCGCGGCAGACGATCGATAAAAGGACGATCCTGGAGTATCCCAAGGGCACATCGAAATGCAGCGGAATGTATTCATGGTGTGGCAAAGCGTACTTACGTTGTAATTACACGGACATTCAACGACGAGACCGTCGACTCGGTCGACTACGTTACGGTGGATTGTGCAACCACTGTAGATGCCGAGGGGATCGTAAGGCTCGCGATATAAAGGATAAGGGATGTTATATTCTTGCGAATGCGCAGTAGATAGCCAATCAGAAACCGGTTCTAAATGTTAAAAAGCAACATTTTGCTGCTAGCATTAATACAACTAAGAGAACGGGACTAAATGAGAAATTAAAAATAGATTCTAATTAAATATATTGTTTTTAAATTAAGTTTCCGCATGGGTATTTTATTAACGATTTAAACTGCGTTGTTCCATCTTTCGATAAACTTTACCCTGCTGCCTTACTCTTACTTTTTTGGTCTAAAAAGAATATAATTGACAAAAAATGACACTAATTAAAATATTAAGGCTGTTTCAAATTTACTACCAGCGCTGAAAACGCTATAGTTTACGTTACGTGCACTATAAATTTTCAATACAATCAATTTGGAACATTAAGTTAAGAACAGCAATTTAAAAAATTTCTAGAATTTTAAATCGCAGATGAAATTAAATTGCAAATATTTAAAACTTCAAAAATCAAAAGCTTAAATAAACATCAAAGATAATTATATTATAGAAAAATATATCGAATCAATATATCGAATATTAGTTTCAAAAGTTGTATTTATTAGATACAAATTTTTTTTCATTATTTATATCAATATGAATAGAACTAGGGCTATTATAGAATCAAATCAGCCACACACACTCTAAAAGTGAAAACTTGAAGCTTCAAAGACAGATAATTTTAATTTTTAATTATATCCAGAAAATATAATTAGAGAATATAGATACGAAATAATCAAAATCAAAATTCCAAGCACAACTTCTGAATAGCTTTATTTATAATATTGTTATTTAAGTTCACTTTCATTATAACTGTAATTCTATTTTGTGTATTAATAGGATTACTTGATATATTTTAATTTTTACACTGATCCACTTTTCGCTGTCTCCTTACGAGGATATGGTGTCGTTTGTTTTATAAAAAAAATCTTTTTTTTTTTATATATACATATGCACTATAATGACTTCGTATCAGTTCCACAGAATAAAAACTTCTTTTCTACAATTAAAGTATACATGCTATATATATAATGTATCTGATTTTGGTGTATTTTGTGTCTAAAACAGAAAAAAGTAAGCAAAATTGTACAGATTTCTTTAACACTTTTTATCTTAATGACGATCAATTGTTACTGTTAATTTACCGAAACATTTCACGCTGCAGCATTAATAAATTACTAATCAGCAATCAGTCTTAATTCTTTATAATTCGATATACATATATTTTACATTGTTTTAGTCGATGATGGGGTATATATTACAAACATTTACATCATAATATTAGAAATAGTAGGATTTAAATATATTTTTCAAAAATTAATTATTTTTAATGCCTTTTATTAGTATATCGATCGTTTTATTTATAAATTATATTATACAATATTAAATGAAATCTAATATTTCCAGCTTCCTTATCTTTAATGAAACATATAATTTTAATAACACTTTGTAATAATATCTATAATAACAATTAAGATGTTTGATAATTGATAATTAATAATTAAGATACAGATATAATTATACAAGATAATCATAGTAAAATTGATATATTAATAATAAATGTTTAATATTTGATAACAAAATGATAATCATGCAATACATAATAATACAAAAATTAATCGGTATTCACAATCTTATTTTAAAATCGCCTTCAGTAATGTCTTAAAATGCTAATGCAGCCTTTTGTTGAGACTCAACTTTGAGATACAATAAGAGGCTTGTTCTTTTTGCCTGCACTGTCTGAACTAGTGCACACAGTACAATAAGTGGAAATGAAACAAATATCTGTTTCGCTTTCATTTATTACACTGTGGGCACAGTGCAGAGAAAAAGAACAGGCCTAATATATATGCGTCTATATAGATTTACTCCGTATCGAAATGCATATAGAAAAACAAAACTATGACAATAATTATGAAAGGAAAACAAAATCAAATGATGATAATTAATCATGCAATACATAATGTGCTCGAATATTTAACAATACATATTTAGAATTTAGATTCAATATGCATTGCGTGTATATATAGGCGCACGCCTGGAGTATACATATGTATATCGCGTGTCCACAAATTTACTCCAATATCGACGCTTTTGGCTTGACGTTGCATCTTTAACTTATTATTTATTATAATATATATCTATCACGTTTTGCACTCATCTACGATCATAAATTGCATGCAAGCAAACGTAACAGAAATTTAACGAACTGAATAATTATCGTTTTTTTTAACCACATATAGTTACGTTACGATATCCCTTGGATTAGTAAATCGGTTATCTACAATCATCCACGATCCACGATTGTCAAAAAACGACCAATTTCTTCATCCCTTCTCCTCCGTACCAATAAAAGAATATTTAGAAGGTTCGATACCTAAATAAGATAAGAGACGATATTGATCAGTATAAATAACTGGCATGCGAGGACATGTCTCGATTGGTTTAAATCAGATGTTAAATGTGAAAATCTGAAGTTCCCTTTCATTCGCGCCATTCGCAGTACATTCCAATGTTGGCTCCTCGGCGATTCTGCGGATAAGGTTAGAACACACGAATCTCAGGTTGACGCCGTTGCGACATAATAACGGTCGGAGAAAGTGGTGAAATTACTTCGTCGCTTTTCCCCTGCGAGATGGGGACGAGAATTTACGCTGGAAACTAAGTCGCAGCTTGCTTTCGTTATTAAAAAGGAAAATCGTATCTAGCCGCGCACGAATCTCAAACGTAGTTTAATGTCAACGTAACATTTGTGGACGATGGACGGAGAGGATTCCGTAGATGTAGACGAGGTCGTAGACGTGGTCATAGACGTAGATCCGCGGGAGCTGCAAGAGACTCTACAAACGTATAGGAAGCTCGCAGACGATTTCGCGAATCACGATACGATTCTGAAGGTAAATATACTCCAGAAGTCCAGATCATGAAAATGAAACAAAGATAGATTCCAGATAGCCAATTCTATTGAAAATCTTACACAAAGTGTCTCGTAAATTTCTCCGGCGAAATGCTAGTGAAAACGTAAATCAATTAACAAAATACTCGTTCAAAAGTATTTATCCATCACTTATCAAAGTTTTGTATGTCTTTTATATGTCTAAATTCTATTTTAATTCTACTGGTTAAATTCAATATCTAAAAGATTAGGAAGGAAAATTGAAACTTACTTTTCTTAATTTTTAATTAAGGAAGATAGTATGGGCGAATGCTTTTGAGTGTATGACAAATTTTAATAACAGAAACTGATATAATCTACTATTATATTATGCAACAAGACAATCAGACTTTGCTGGTCAAACAGCTTTAAGTCAACCTGTCATAATGTCCTGCTTAAATCTGCTGCTTAAGTTAACGTTACTATTAAGATTTTGTTTACTGTATATATTATTGCTGATCTATGATTATTTGTGATTTATTACAGGATAAGACAGTCCTGTCATACATAGCGTACGTCTTAGAAGTACCTGATTTAGATGTGGTTAATTTAGCTCTGGACATTTTGGAGATATTTGTTAAGAATGTAGACAATTATATACATATTACGTCTACTTTTGGTGTACGTGAATCCTTGGAGGCAATTATTAACAAGTATAGCTTGAATGAACCAAAGACAGCTGGACGAGCGCAGTACATCAAAGATGACATAGAACGTATGAAACCACCTATATATAATTTACGCAGTCGTTGTAGGCGAGTTATAGAGCCCAAAAAGTTGAGGACACATGTAATAGTTTTACATGTTCAAGGTTTATTACCAGTAAGTACTAATTGTATCTATCTTAGTTTATTAATATTATGTGTGAGAAAATAATTATAAAAATATAGCTATACATTCGAGAGTGTAATAAAATAATTGAAATATAATTAGGAGACTAGAGCCGAGTTGGAAGGGATATTAATAAGAATTGAAGGTCTCATTTCGCTTGTTGTCGATGTAGAGCACCAACGTGTAACTATGCGCACTTTGAATTATGTCACCGCGAAACAGATTGCGGAAGCAATCGACAAACATACTGATAATATGGAAGCAAGATTGGTTATGAAAAACAAATTTAATCAAGAGTTTCTCATAACGTTGGTAAGGATTATTACTTATTATAACTGTTACTGTGATTTATAATTTGTTTTAACAGGCGTGTATGTTTTATATTTTAATATAATTTTCGTTTCTAAAAAGTTAAACACAATATCATGTTGAATATATGAATATGATGAATCTTTCAGATACAAGTAGGCGATACTGACAGTGAAGGCTTGCCTGATTACTTGCCCGAGGAGGAAGAAGAAGATGATAAGGAGGGAGTTGTGTCATTATTTACTGGTTTAAAACAAAGCGCTTCATCTTTATATAAATCTACCACAGAGTTTCTAAGTAATTCATTCTATTGGTAGAATTTTTAACTGTAAAAAAGATTGTCATTATAGTTTTATTTATTTGAAATTAATTATTGTTTGCCTGTCTCTTTAAAGAAGAGATGAAAACAATTCATGTGAATAGAATACATTACCTCAATAGATATATAACAAAGAAAAAGACTTATGAGATATTTTTTAGCTATGATCAGTTGATTGTAATTATTTAAGAATTTCTCACACTTTTATCAAGATGTTCATAATTAATAATGACTAAAGGAATGCCATTAATCGTAAAAATCAAAATTAATTGATTTTTACGATTTTTTAATAAATAATGCTTTGTATTCTCTTCATCTGTCTCGATAGAAAATTGACATGTACAAACAGACTTTTAAGTCTATATTTGTAAAAAGAGGAGACATATTTTATGTGTATACAAAATAACTTTCTTATTTTTTGTATTTTGACAATTGTGCATGTTGTACCTAATGATTTAACACATATAAACCCATTATGTATACAGATGCGGATCTTATATTACGATCTTAGAGACTTCTAATCGAATTCTAATATGATAATATGTAAATAAGTAAATTCCAATGTGTGCTACATATGCACACTGAAGATCTGGCATTTAATTAAATTAACAACTTTTATTCATATAAATGAGATTTTATAAAATCTCATTTACAATTCTAATGTGTAAAATGTTGGATTAGATGTAGATATTGAATATATGTGATACAATTATTCAACCCATAATACAGCTTTTGCAATCAAATAATGAAACAAAAGAATTCTAAAACTTAACTTTTCAATTATTTCAAGGCTTGTCTATATAATCTAAAATAAGTTTATTTAGATGACGTATTCATGAATTTTTCTTCGTAAAATAAACAAGTGATTCTTTAAATAATCGTTGGAATAGCGTATGTCGATATACCACGATTTACTTTAACTCAAATAAAATAATCGTATACAATCATTGAAAAATTATTCAAAATTATATATTTAAGATACTCTTCTTTTTGAATATTGTTATATTTCAGTTGTTCACATAATCTTTATATGCGACGCAATACATATATTGGATTTGTACAAAGAATAAAATATAAAATGTTGTGTAAATCAACTTTATTTTATAACACAAATTTTGTGTACTGCTTCTATTATTATATAATAATAGAACTAGTCAGTTTTTTAGCTGCCACTGCACAAAAAGGAACAATTTATGCAACTACTCGCATAAGTATGATGGATACAATACGTATGATTACTACAAAGTACATCTCTCTCTATTTATAATATGCCTTTTAAATTATTTCGTTCAGATGAGCACATCAAAATCGTTATTCTACTTTATACTTTTACGCTTATTCGCTAAGTTCCCGTTGTATTGTCTATATTTACAGATACAGATGTATATAATTGTCATTAAGGCAATTTGAGTTTCAAAGCAGGTACAATAGATGGATGCAAAACATCATTTCTTTCCTGTAATCGAGTAAACGAAATAGTTCGTAGACATATGCGTATGGAACAGAGAGATAGAACTTACAATAATTATATTAGTACCAGTAGTTCGCGGAATGAGTATGAGGTTCGCGTGCAGTCCAGTGCTATTGTTGAGCTTCGTTTTGAAACTCGCGTAACCTGCACCACTATTTGACTATTTCGCGCAATACAACTCACTTCTTAAACTATACATTAAATGCTTAGGCTGAAATCAATAAGTACATAGTCATTATAGACTTACGCTCTCTGACTCTTGTTGGCTGTGAAGTAAAAAAAAAGAATTAAGTTTCTTACGTATGAGCATATGTCTTGGAAAATACATACGATAGTACAATATGTACCCTCCTATTGTAAATATATAATAACTTCCGAGGAAGGAAGTTTCGCATTTTTGTATTTTTCCTTTTCAATTTTTGCCTAACATCTTCGTATCCATAATATATTGCAAATATAAAAGATCATACAGGTACAACAACATCTTTCAATACATGCTTCAAAGACTAAATTGCGTATTATTATCAATTCTCTAACTTTTACTAGACACTTCGACACGGTCGATGCATGCAAATTGCCATAGGCACTTATGTCATAATAAAATTCGTTATCATTACGTTGTACATTTTATTCTGTTTCGAGAGGTTCACTAAATTCCTTTTCTTTAAGAGAATGCATTTAAACTGTGCATATACATAATATCATCAACTAGATGCTTTCATAACTATGAAGGCATCTTACTATTTACAGCTGCCTTTCCATTTCGTCAAACATAAACACATACATAAGCAGGGAAATATACGAATTTAAAGAGTTGTTGACTGCCTGGATTATTCAAAACTTACTTCTATGGCAATGGGTATGCACAGTTCGAATTTTAAATTAGATTTGTGACTTAGAGTACATATGCGTATTCAGAAAAAATTGTAGATGCGAAATATTAGATATCATGGAAGAAGTAAATACATGATCTTTTTATCTGCGGAGTATACTGAGCACATTACAACTTATAATGACAATTATTATAATAAATTTAATGAGTGTTAAGCATAAAAAAAACCTGATGTAGCGATTTCAAATAATATTAATGTAATCATTGCATAGGAAATAATATCCTTCGTACCAATATCTAGATTTGTTGAACAAGAATAACACTACATCTACACTCATGTTGTATGTGCTAAAAAATGTTGTGTATAATTCAAATAAACTTGAGCAATATTAATCTGATTTTTTAGCAATTTTTATATGCAACTGACCAAATATTAAGAATGCTTTTGAAAACTATTTGAATTTAATAGTCAATTAAGGATATAAAGTCTTGAATTATTTGCTTGTTGAATCATTTGTTTTCTAAATAATATTATATATACTTCTTAATATATGTATGTATACATGTTTTATATGAAGATGAATATGTGAATGCAAGTATATATGTATATATATATATATGTATGTCAGTATATGAATGTGTATATGTGTGTATACATATATGAATAGATATCTACAATATGCAACATAAGTTACAGAATGAAAAATGATGTGATTACTGAATTTCACTCAGGCAGTAACTCTAATTTATAAACCAATCATAAATCAGATATAAAAATTATACTAATAACTAATCTATATTCGGCTTTCCATCTTCATAGATCCACTCGCCGGTTGAGATGCAATTGTAACTTCACTGACTTCATCCGTTTCCGATTGACTCGATGTGTCAGAAACGTCGTCTATTTCTTTTCTCTAAATTCAAATGAAATATACGTGCTTTTTTATTTTCGTTCTTAATATATTAATTGTAAAATATATTAATTGTAAAATTTGATTATCATCCACGAAAAATAAAAATGTTAAAAAAAATTTACTTTAAAACTGCTTGACATATTTATTTATATTTTTTTAAATATTATAATATACCAGTCTGCAAATGTTCAATTCTCTTACTACCATGTACACTAATATTTGTAAGTAAATGTATTTCATTTTCTGCAAAATTGATATATTGTTTTTCGTATGTGGTAATTTATTTGTGACAACTTTAAAATTATTTATTATATGTAGAAGAATATTTATTCATATTTAAAAATAAGTATTGTTAAATTATATTAATTAAATTTAACTTTATTATTAATTAAATATTCTCTTTACTTTACTTACTTTTTGGGAATGATGTATATTACGAAGAACTCTTTGAACATCCGGATTACTTTCTAAGGTGGAAGTCTGACTGGACGGAGGATGCGAATATTCAGAAGTATTTTCCTCATCAGAAGCTAATGCCCCCTGTATTCTGCCAGGTGTTATTAGTTTAGATCTTCGTAATCTGCATCCAGGACCGATTGGCCTTCTTGCGATACTATATAATATATTCAAGAGAATATATTCTCAATATGATTCCTACTCATTGTTAGACGTAAAAAATTAAAGAGCTGTTAACACGCAAAATTGAAAAGGAGGGTAGAAATTTTCGAGGGTTTTCCGACCACTCGGGGATCATTTTATTTGTATGCTCTTTTATGTCTTTTTCTTCCTAGAAACCGAAAATCATTAATGCCAGACTAAAAAAAATTGGTACATTGGTTAATTAGATTATATTTCTTATTATACCGTTTATTATCTCGATACCGTTTCCACCACTTCAAGTGTCGCACTTGTATGTGAATTGGTTACCGTTTTCATATTTTTTATAAGATTATTAATTTTTTTGTAATATATGGTCTAATGCGAAATATAATCTAATTAACGTTTTGCGATATTACTCGCATTTAATCCAATTTGGAACTAATTTTTAAATCATTGAGGCATAATTGACAGTGATTTCATAATGATACAAATAAGGATTTTATTCATTTTATTTCAATGTACCAAGTTTTCTTTCATTCTGGCGTTATTATAATGATTGTTTTCGGTTTCTACGAAGAAAAATACATAAGAAAACATACAAATAAAATGATCTCTGAGTGATCAGAAACCCTTGAAAATTATTACTCTCCTTTTTCCAGAAAATTTATACCATAAAATTTTGCAGAAAAACTGTAATTTATTTTCCAAAAGGTTGACAAAATTTTAATTGATATAACCTTTAAATTAATTTTTTCAAATTTAAAAGGTTAAAAAATCGTTAACTTTTTAAAAAGTAAGAATTAAACCATTATTATATTGAATCTTTTAATACAGTTATAAAATAGAAAATATTTGTAGAAAAATATTGTATTTATTATTGAATAGAATACCTTCTTCGTCTTAAGGAGTAATTATAAGTATAGCTTGGATCTTCTCCCTCTTCATCTGACCAGCTTTCTTCACAAGCATCGTCTTCGTGATCATCCGTATTATCCGAAGAAGCTCGTATTTTATCGGATTGTTCTACATAGTGCCCAGATAATTTGCCTGAATCTTCTTTATTTCTACTGTGTGTAAAGTTAAATTGATTTAATAAATATTATAAATTATATTTATCAATGTTAATCCTTAAGTAATGTAAAATATTCCTTGTATCTCACTAGTTGATACAAATACCATAGTACTTAGGGATTAACAAATTTTATGATAAAATTAAAACGTATTCGCGGATATTATTATACAATACCTATGGGAGATTATGACATCATCGCCATTTCCATTGTCAATGATAAGACGATTCGCATTAATAATTTCGCTGACTTTTCTGCCGAGAGTTTCAAGATTGTCGTCATCGCTACAATCCTTCAAACGTTCGTTTCCATTGGCGTTATTTTCATTTAAATGTTCAGGACTGGAGCATGAACTAGTTTGCATTGGATAGTGCGTTTCCGGCAAAATTGGATTCCCGTTTAAGCATTCCGTCACTTGCTTGTTCAATGAAAGTCTTCTGACGAGATCTAAAGAGGATTTTTCTGTTAAAGAAAGCGCTACGTTCGCTATCGAGATGTGATCCGTTTCACTGATGTCCAGGATGTCCGTTTGTGTGTGGCTATCAACGAATCTGGCAGGTACCTCTACACTCTATAATTATAAATCATATATTACTAATTGTATATAACATACATTAAAAATTTGAGAAATTATAAACATATTTTAAGAAACGTAATGTAAACTAATTCATAAATAATAATTAAGAAAATAAAGAACTCTCAATATTAAAAAACAATTGTGTGACATTAAAGGCGATAAGTCAAAAAAGTAATAAACAATCGAAGACTAAATTATAATAAAGTTAATAAATACTAAATAATTTAATAGAACAGAAATATACATACATTACATGTTTCGGCTCTAAGTTTAAGCCTTCTTCCGATATAATACAAAAAAAGTATACGCAATAAAAATATTATAGTAGGGGAGGCCAAGCGGGGATTTTGGGATTTACTCGAGCGCGTCAGAATAACATAAAGGGGGAAAGCTTGCACCCTAATAAGTACCCCCACCAAATATTAAACTTCTATATAGAGCCGGGGGTCCAGGGGATTAGTAAATAAAAAAAATCAATCGTTCGAAAACTCGAGCGCGTCAGATTAAGGTATGGTGTGTTAATTACATGTAGAAAAGTGTACATTTCAAAAATTTGACGCGCTCGAGGAAATTTTTTTTTCCCCTTTTTTTGACCTCTTCCTACAGCTAACCCCACCACGTAAACCGTCAGATTAATATTTATCCGTTATCAGAAACACATGGGTCGCTTACACTATTAATATCTGACACGCTCGAGTATTTCATTGTCACTGTTTTTTTTTGAAAGCCTGTACACGCTCCCCCCACCACTGAAACGGCATACATCATATAACCTTTTTTTCTTTTTAGCATCTAATCTTCACAATCCAATAGGTCCCCACAACGCTCGAGTAAATCCACATTTAGTCTCTCGGCCTCCCCTACTACTAATAATAATTGCAAGATACAATCAGACGCAAATAATTTCGTTAAATTTTTAATGTGTCATGAATATTTGAAGCAGAGGAAACGGAAAATTGCTCTGTTATCTGTTTAATTATTATATTTATTCTAAATTATTTTAATTAACTAGTAGTTTTTTGAACATGGCCGGAGATACTACTGCGTCTCCTGATTTTTACCTTTCTCTCACGATGAGGACTCGATCTAGGACTGGAACTCACACCACAACCCGAACCGACTCTACGATGCCTGTATTTACGTTGTTTGAAGCTATTGTTTGATGCTAAAACAGTTTCCGGCTGATTGGATTCATTCAGCTGCGTGTACATGGTAGCTTTAACAGGGCTCTGTGGTGAATCCGTCGGCGAAGGAGGAGTAGTAGGCGTCGAAGAAGTAGAGAATTGTACTGTGCCATTCCGTCTGCGATATAGTCTCTCCTGGGCCTTCAATAAAGGACGGACAAGACGTTTCTTGTACTGCTTGTATCCTGTTGATTGTTGTTCTCTCCTGAGACAAACCAGACATTTATTTCCAAATGTTCCAAATGTGCGAGTTTGGTTGCAGTCTTGTGCTATCTGTCTTGTAAGCGCAAAGCGATTATGCAAAGCGATACTGCGTCGTCTGTATTTAAAAAAAAATTCAGAGACTATAATATGGTACATTTCTCATATATTATGTACAACATATTTCATAGCATGAATATTACAGAAAACGTCTTTGACTCTAATTATATATTATAATATAACGATATTTTCCTCACTTTATCACATCTCGCTCGCGTAATTCTAATTGTAGTAAAATAGCGTTCAGTTCCAAGTATAAGTTGTTAGTGCGTTCAAGTTTGCGCTCATAGTGTTCCCTGACATCCTGAGCGTGTCGTAATTCATCCTTTCTTCGTCGAATTAGTTCAGCTTCGAAACGCGGATCGGTATTAGTAAATAGTGGCATGTGCTGCATGTGTTCCTGTATTTCCTTCTTCCAAGATTGCTGTAACGAAGAAAATTCCTTTATCTTTTGACGATTGCACACAGAAAATAATTAATTATTTTCATTAATCATTTTATTTCATTAATCATTGAAGTTGCTTTTCTTGAGGTTTATTTAAACATTTAAATGTTATTAATTTTATCATACATAATAACACCAAAGGAACAAATGAGAATTTTTTAATGTGTTTTGAATAATATAAAATTAAAATAAATTTATTACGTAATATATAATGCAATACAATAATATATTTAAAAATATTTATAATTTATTTATAAATTAAATAATATAAAATAAGAAGGCATTTTGGTGTGTACGCTTTGCATAAATATTTAGTACCGAATTTTATTATATTATCATACAATTGGGCTTAAATTTCTGAAAATTTGCATTATGTTGAGAAAAACGAGTTCTACCTGTGCCTTAAAATAATTTTCGGGCTCCGTAGAAAGTACATCAACAGCTGCGATAGCAAGATGCATCTCAATAAGTTTAAAGGAAGGTCTGTTACGTGGTTTGGCCGACCAACACTGCTTAACCAGTAACCCATATCCCTCCGGACAACTGGTAGGAATAGGTAAATGAAGAGAATTGCTGCCCACTCCCCACATAACAGCGGAGGAATCCACGTCTTTGTAAGGTATTTCGCCGCTCAATAATTCCCATAGTACGACGCCGTACGACCATATGTCTACTTTTTCTGAGCATGGCTCGTTCCTGATTACCTCTGGCGCCATCCATGCCACCGTACCAGCAAAAGTCATTTTTGTGCTAATCTCATTCCACTGTCTACTCGTGCCGAAATCACTGATCTTCACTATTTCCCCTTGTCCTATTAGAACACTGTAAATATACGATAATTTTCTCGTTATTCTGCAATTATTGTGAATTTTAGATATACTTTATTTACAAAAGATTTTACGTTTTCCATTTATTCAATTAAAATATACTACATAATTTTATTACAGTTTTTTATAGCACATTAATTTTCTAATAAGATGCCTGATCTATCTAATAAGATGTCTGATTGAGCACCAAATTATTAAATTGCTTGTCAATTTAATTTGTGATACTACTACAGTAGTTTAATCGGATTGTATTTCAAAACTAAAAATAATTTCAGCGCGCGGTTTGAAAGACTACATACATGTAATGTATAAATTCATACAGAATTATTTCAGCACTTAAGATATTGCTAGACCGTTGGGACCTATATTATTTCCTAATTATTGTGTTATTAATAACTTTTTTTCAAAAAATTTCAATTGTTTCCATTTTATTGTTTACTTACTTTGGACTTTTGAGATCTCTGTGTATAATTTTGTGAGCATGAAGGTACGCCATTCCTGCAGCAATTTGTTTTGACCATGACACCAATCTAGCAGGAGGAACCGGTTCTCCAGCTCTTAGAAGGTCATATAATGGTCCAAATGGACAAAATTCCATTATTATGCAATAGCAAGGAGGTTTTGTACATACTCCTCTGTAAACATCAGATGAGCATTTAATAGTAACTGTTTTATATAAATTCGACTTATATTTTAATATTATAGAAAAAATAATAGATCTTACTTGAAGTGTACAATATTCGGATGATTGAGTTTCCGCAAATGGCGTATGTCAGTCTCTTTCGGTTCCTTTACCTTTTTAACAGCTACTATTTCCTTATTTAATTTACCACTAAATACTGCACCTTGAGCTCCAGATCCGAGCCATTGTAGCTCGCTGATTGCTTCGAAAGGTATCTCCCAATCGTCTACTGAAAAAAGTAATTCGTATAAATAGTTTTTCTAAATGTAATTTAGAAAAACTATTTATAATTTACAAAAATCTTTTCAAAATTTATAAATTTTATTTTAAATACAAAGTCAAATTTAAAATTAATCTTACAAATTATAGATTTTTATTGTTTCGAATAGTTTCTAAAATAATCATAAAATTCATTAAAAACAACGATTATAAAGATTATATTTAGCCATTAATTTCTACTGAACGTTAAAAAATACAAAGTTTTATACAAAATATTTAAGATTTTTTTCAATCCACTGCAACTAATTTAAAAGGAGGGGAAAATAATAAATAAAAAGCCACATTGAGAAACTTACACAACTTACTTGAAAGACCCTTGATTTTTTCATTAATAGCAGCCTTCGATAGCATGGTCCAAACTGGGCGCATGCATCCCAGGATGCCTTCGACCCAACTTGATCGTTGAGAATCGATGCTTTCCGATTCGGGAGCGCATTTTGTCGCGGCATCGTTGGAGTTACTCGCGAAATTGAGATGATTACTATTGGGCAATTGAACCTCACGTAGTTCAGTGATTAGCCGTTCGGGGCTTCCCGCGATTTCACTCAGCTGAGCCAGTTCCTCTTGGATGCATAGCATGCTGAAATTTTATATGTATATTACATATTTCCGATAATATCTGACGCAAATTATTATTGTGTACATTATTATAATGCACATTTATCACAATACATTACGATAATGCTCGAAATAAAGTCTATAGATATCGAAGACAAAAGATTCAAATTCACCGATAATAGAATTCCAATGTATTATGCATAAGGAACCTACATAAATATGTTCCTAAACAAGTAATTACTCACAATTTCAAACAATCGGAATAGGTAAAATTAACTACGAAATTATTTTGCCTATTCCGTAATTAATTTTCATGTATGCTTTGTTTTCCAAGTACGCGTTTTTTTTAAATATTCAGAAATGAATAGAATTACCTATATATATATTCGTAACAGTATAGTGTATTCATTAAGCTATAAAAAATTATGTCTTATTAACATTTTACCAAACAGAAAAGATTCAAGAAACAATGTTTGATTGTTAATGCAGCCAAGCACTATAAATAAAAAAACATCATATAAGGTATATGTTTACAAATTTTGATTATTTATAATAAACGATTCTAAATTATATATTTCTTGAAAGCTTTTCTTTTATTAAAAATTAATACACATTGTATCATTATAGGTATTAGTAAAAATTCTTTTCCTTTGCTTTCTCATAAATCTTATAGATTTATTTTTCTTATTATTTATTTTCACGACGTTTTGTTCTTTTTTCTTTTTTAACAGAATAACTTTTATATCGTGATGTGTAATTATAGCAAAAGAAATTTCTATATTTTTGCTATTGTCACAAATGAGAAAATAATTAACTCAAGAGAGCAAGAGATTGATGTAAGTAGCGTTAAGAATCATTTACAAAAAAAGAACTCGAAAATTGTATATAATTTTATCTTTTACTGTCCGATGAACGATAAAAAACGATGTATATATCGCATCAGCGATATCAATCGCTGGATGATTTTATATCCATATTCAGTAACGAATTTTCGATTCTCTGCGGAAAGATCTAAGTATTTAGAGAATTAGGTTGTATCTATAAGTATATAAGTCTCAAAATCCTCTACTGTTGATATATGCATTAATTGTTGAATACAGCTGTATTCGTATTTAATTGATATCATGAAGTTCTCTATTAATGTAAAATATTATATGAGCATTTATATATATGTTGGTAAGTTAAAACATATAATACCATAACAACATTTTAAAGAGATAAATTTTAAATAAAAAAAGAGAACTGCGAAGTATTATTATTGTAATTACATTATTATTTACTTTTAGCAAACAGCATACGCGATATCGATATAATTAAAGATATAGAAATATTGTTGCCGGAATCTTAGTATTCCGCATCAATTATCAGCTGTTTAATTATCTGCGATAACAAGTAGACTCATAATAATTTGTACAAGTAAGCTCAGTACTTAATTTATTTTTAAACATTATGATCAAAGTGAGATATGTGTGAATGAGAGATACCACCTTGATAAAGTTTTTATAAATTTTAAAATCCGTTCTTAATAATATCTTAATAATTAATAAATTAAATATTTTTAAAACAAGAGTATAATTTTATTTAGGATATATAACGTTCGATTCAAAATTGGAGGGTTCGATTGTACCCTCCAAAAATGGACTTTGGTGGCTTGGGATAAGAGATTTGTAGTGTCTTTCAGTTTTTGAACATGGTCGGAGACACTACCGCGTCTCCTGATTGCTCTTTATGTTGTTTGTTAATTCTTAGTATCCCCTTTTCTTTACTTTATCTATTTCGTCCTTGTGTTTCAAGGACCGTCAAAAGATAATATTATAGAGGTAACAATTGTATTACCTCCTTCGCAGACGTCTTTTCAAGGCTACGCGTGGCAAAAGGTTTGCGTTTGTGTCAATGACTTTTCACACACTAAGTGGTGAACATATTTATCTATATTTTTCTTTCTGTTAAATACACTCATCTGGCAAATATGAGAAAGCTCTCATTATTCTAAATTGGATATCAGTACCTACGTATTTATAGGAGGGGAACACAAAATACTTAATTAACGTACTGATATGTAACAAATATCTTAATTAAAGTTTTCCAACCTTTATTTAGCTCGATTATTGATCAGATTTTTTTATAGATTACTTAATTAACCTTTTGAGGAGTAAATTTCCGAAGGTCAAAAAAAAATATTTTATTTGATGTTTTAAATGTGGTTGAAGTTTGGATCGCTATTTAAAATATATTAAAACGAATATAGAACTAGGGAATATTTGCTATTTATTATTTTTATTTTTACTACTCTCTAAAGTATATTTGCTCCCAATAGTATAATATATACTTCGCTAAATAGTCAAACGTCAGGTAAAACGAAACATACGAATATGTGGCATTATCTTTCAAGAGGTTAATAATATTTTTCATAATAATTTTTCGACCGATTAGTTTTTCTTTCTTTTATGTGTAGTTTACAATGACAATAACAATAGAGATTACAGAGAGTAACAGTCGATAATTCTTCTGACATTCGACAGTCATTGGTCAATATTCTTACAGTCTCATTATTGCTATTGCTATTGATGTAAACTACACATTACTGAGATATTTATACTAAGAGCTTTATGGTTGCAGAATTTTTTTTGTTAAAGATAAAAACATTTTGCGAAGAATAAATTTTTAAGTTTTTATAATTTCAAAGATAAAGAAAATAGGCGGACGCAGTTTTGTGCTTAAAATTTTTGTTGATAAAATAGCTGGGTTTTATTTAAATTCAATTAAATCTTATTTTCTTAAATTCAATAATATTATAATATAATATCTATAGATGCTTTGTATAAAAAAAAATATGTGAAAGAATCGCTGTGCATATATTGTATATGTAAAATGATTTTCTCCAAAATCTTTTCCTGTACGAGTTAAGAAGAAATTCGTTAAGAATTGTACTTATTGAACATCCTATGTATTATACATTGATATCGCGCATTCGCATCTGGAAGACTTTAGAAACGTCACGTTAACTGTTATTTTGACTGATATCTACGATGCAACTTTTCATGCTTATGCGGAGATTAATATTACACACCGACATTGATAACATGGTGCAACGTTATCGGACGTTTTATTCGTTGCAAATCGTAATAAATACTTTTGAGCGGAATGCAACAATGTAGAATGCAATGCGGATATCGATCGCACTCTTTACGTCGCAACTGCATTACATATGTACCTATAGACATATGTTTCTAAATTTAATTCTCGACTGATATATAGTACGTCATGCTTTATTACGTTCTTTAGTGTCTCACAAAAATTCTTTCAAACTTTCATCTTTTTCCAAATGTTTATCAAATAGATACATAAAACAGTAGAAAATTTCAAAAATAATCTTTCAATAATAATATTTACTTTACCTTTTTTTGTCCAAATAATATACAATATTTATGTATCATATATGTACAGATATATAGATTTATTTAAGTAAAGCATATCTTTAATTGTGGTAATGTATTCACAAAATGAATATTCGGATGTTTGTCATATTTTGAATTCCTATTTCTTAATTCTTTTTTACATATATTAAAATCGAATTCTCTTTTATATATAATAATTTATATA